TTCACAGACTAGTCCCTGAGCTCCTAGCACCACACTGTGCCCTACAAAGTGTTCTGATGGCCCACATTACACAGACACCCTTGTCGTCGGTGGGGAGCAAACCCAGACCCGCTGGCACTGCTACCCCCCAAGCGCGCAGAGCAACACGGGGAGCTGGGCAGTAGTAGTAGGTTGTTGCAGTTACAAGGCTCAGCCACTAGAGGGAGACATGATGCCACCTGCTGGGCCAGGGTATTTCAAGGTATTGGCACACTGTGCTGCTATTCCGTGTTGTATTTTCACTGGGCCTGCCCTGAAGCTGGAGAGAGGGGGTGGGACCACTTGTGTCCCCTGCCTCCCCACCTGCCTGGCATGGCACCATGACGCCAGCTGCCACAGAGCAGCAGCACCCTTAGCTGTTCCAGCCTGTACACGTGGCCTAGGCCAACAGCTGCATCTGTGCCTCTCCCAAGCCGGGCCCCGGCTCCTTGGAGGCGGATGCCTCAGCTCCCCGGTGCCTGGCCCAGCTCACAGCGACTGATATAGCATGTGCCAGAGGGAAGCCCTGCGCTAGATGGCATTGGCCCAGGCAGAACCCCCTTTGTGGCCATGTGGCTGCAGCGCCGGCTCCTGCTTTGCTGAGCCCCCAGGCAAGTTCAGTGCCCAGATGCCATGCCCGGCCCGTGCATCCCAGGGACATGGCACCTGATGTGCTGTCGACTGGCCCACGTCCAGTCAGCTCCCGCACACTCGCTGTGTGTCTGACTGTAACCGTCAGGCCTGCCATGGATCGGGATTTGCTTGGTGGAACAGACCCAGCTGGTCTTCCCCCACCTGAGCATCTCTCCTCAAAATGTCTCGGGCAATGAGTTTGGCCAGCACCTGTGTGTCTGTCCTGGGCTCAAATCTTCCCGTCCACCCACCTCCCGGCTCGCCCAAGCACACGGCCCTGTGAAGCCAGCTGCTTATTCAATACGGCGTGGGGAGAGGGGAGCTTACCTGTGCCAAATGCAGCAAAGTCCAGAGACCAGAATCTCTGCTCCCAGCCAGCTTCCCCCTTCTCCCTGTTCGTGTCCCTCCCTTCTCCACTTGCCCTCGTGTCATGGCCAGGGTCAGAGAAAGATCTTGAGCTGCCGTCTCTCAAGCCCCGACTGCAGGGGTGGGGAGTCTAAGAGTCAGGGGCCGGATGCAGCCCCTGGCTTGCCTGTATCCAGCTCCCTGAGGCTCAGAGCTGCCCCCCCCCTTTGGGGAGCCAGCACTGGTGTTCCAGCCCCTCCACCATCCCTCTGCAGGGCTGGAGCCCACAACATCCACCAGCCAGCCCCCCCAAGGCTCTGGTGTGCAAGAGGAATGAGAAGGGGGTCAGGTTCGTGAGGGGTTGTTTTTTCAATTTTTGCTTCTGACTTGTGCATAGCCCCCGACTGATTTTTCCGTGGGTCCACGGCCCCCGACCTAAAAATGTTCCCACCCCGCCCCACTGACTGTCAGAGACCTCGTTGTGCTTCCACGACTTCAGCCCACTTCCCCGCTCTGCTGCGCCGGGCTCGCCGGCCCTGCCCGCCCCGTCCAGCGGTGGGCCAGGTGTCGGCTTGCACCCACCTCTCCAGGCTGGTGGCTCCTGGGGGCCGTGTGCCAGTTCACCCAGGGGGCCTCGCTCCTTCACAGTCCCATCACGCGCCGCTTGCAATGATCTCACCCCAGTGCCCGGTGCAAGCACATGATGGGGTCTGGTCGTGAGCAGAATCCCTGATCTCCCAGCACCTGTGGTGGGGGTGGGCGGGCTGAGCGAGATGCACCGGGTGAGGGGAGGGCGAGGCTGCTCCATCACCATCTGGAACAAAGACATCACTTCCCCATCCCTCTTGTCCTCCCCTAGGCCCACGCCTGGGTCCCTAATGAGGCTGTAATTAAAGGCAGCTCCACCGCCTCCTCCCCCTGCAGCACTCCGAGCTGAGCTAGAAATTTATAGGGCTGGGATGCTTTAAACAGGCAGGACGGTTTCCTATTGGCTCCTGTGGGCGGTATGATGTCATTGCCATCCAATCCCCCCCCCACCCTCCACACACACTCCCCTCTCCTTTTAAAAGTCTGGAGGAAATTAACCCCTTGCGGGTTTTAGTCTGTCAGGAAGAGACACCCCCAAGAGTGCAGTCAGCCCCACCAAGGCTGGGACACTGACATGGGAGAGGAAAGGAGGGTACGGGACCCAGGGGGCCAGGGGCAGTGCCCGTGTGCCTGGCGGTGTTTGGGCATTGTCCATCAGCGCCGGCGAGCATAAAAAACCCAAGCTCCCTGGAGGAAGGACATGCCCAGGCCAGCCCCACCTGCCCTGTGCCAGGCTCTGGGGGTGTGCGCATTGGAAAGCGCTGGGCTAACTTCTCTGCAACGCCATGCATGGGAATGGAGCTGGGGACTCCGTACCTAGCAAGAGGCCAAAGAGCCTCTGTCCCGGCTGCAACGCTGCCGAGGCCGCACCTGCAGAGGGCCAGCCCTCCTAGGGCTCTGCCCAGGTGCACATGTTGCAGTGCTGTGGGGGAGGCCCTGGGTGGGGTCTCCGGAGAGCTGCCCTCAGCTCCTGGCTCTGCCGCACTCCTTGGGCATGTCACTCTGTCGCGCTGTGCCTTGGTTCCCTGGCGGAAAAATAGGAAGAAGCAACCTTTCCTCCACCAGCCTCTGCGGTCCTGGCCCGTTACTACGTGTACGTACAACACCTAGCCCAACGGGGACCTGGACTCTGCCACCAAGAAGAGCCATCTTCCTCGGCACCCCTCACCTCCCACTGCGGCTGTGTTCCACCAGGACCCCGACGGTCCACGAGAGACCACCCCTGTCTGCAGGGACAGCGTGAGGGCAGTGGCTTCAGCAGATGCAACCGAGCATGCCCAGGCCACGTGAGCATGCTCAGTACAAGCCACGCAGCAAATCAAGACACCCCCCCATGCACCACCCCTCTCGTCACCCCTGGGCCCACGCGTGGCAGGAATGAGACATTCCACAGGGCAGGGCCCCAGCCTGCGGAACTCACTGCCACAAGAGCCAGCAGCGAGCACGGGCCTCATCACATCTGGACCCAAATGTAAAACTCCTCTCTTGGACTGAGCTCTCTCCCCACATACCTTCACCTCACCGCTCTCCACACATACCCACACCTGCCCTACTGACTACACAAGCCATTCCCCCTCTGGGCCGGGCAGAGGGACTGGTATTGCTGTTCCCTTCCCAAAGACTCGGGAGATGCTCAGGTCATGGATGCCGAGGCTGCTTTCCAGCCCATTATCCTTTATGTCCCTTGTGTGTGTGTGTGTATCATAGAGCTAAGCTAGCGTGGTGTCTTGCTGACTTCCCGTCCTCATGCAACTGTTATGGTCGGTCCCACAGGGATGAGGCTAAAAGCCTTTAAGGAATGAGGCAACATCAAACCTCTATCTCCCCACCCCCTTTAGAGCAACATTACCCAGCTCAGGTACCATGGTCCAGTCCAATGTCATCACTCACATCTCGTCACCATAGCAACGGGGACCAGTAACGGCCTCTGTGGGGTCCCTCATGGCTCCACGTGCCTGCTGGCCTCTCCACAGACATTGGCTCTGGGGTGCTGTGTCAGCGGAGCATGGCAGCTTTCTCCTCCCCTTTTCCAGGCGCCCCTGCTGGGATCAGGTCCAGTGTGAGGCCTTCTGTGATCCTAGGCCTGTGGCGACCTGTTAGACCAGGGCAGCTGGTGCCAGGCCAGCTGTCCCTGGAAACACCAGGCCTCAGCTGCCTGGACGGGTGGAGAGCAGGTGTCTGTGGGGCAGCTGGGCAGGAGGTGACCAGGGGTCCGGGATTGAAGCTTTGGTTCATTAGAAATGTGTCCTTTGGGTTCTTCCCCATGCGGGAATTCCACACCACACCGAATGGCAGGCCACTGGTTAGTCTGAGTGTAATGGGGGTGGTGCACTGACTCATCTAGTGGCACTGAGATCATGGAGAGAGTGAATGAGTCTGCTCTGCATCCCAGCTGGCTTTTTAGCTCATTCACTAAGCTCCAGAGGTACCAGGTTCGATTCTGTCCTGAGATGACCAGGGTCTGTCAGCCTTACATGAGCTCCTTGGAGGCTTCTGGGAGGTATAACCTGAGCTTTGCGAACTGCTGGGTGAAGGCAGGCATGGGATGAGTTGTCTCATGTTCCCCCCGCCGGCAAGATACGTCAACATGGGCTTGACTTTATGTACAAGTGAATGGGCCTGTTCATCTGCTTAACATGAAGCTTGTATTTAATGCTTGCTGGATTTGGCCCTAAGCACATGGGGACAGGCACTTATTAAGAGGTTGGGCGCAGTCTCTAACTCACCAGACATCTTAGGTTCTCTGAAGGTGTGTCTAGACTACACCTCTCTGTCGACAGAGATGTAGATTAGGCACGTCGAAATTGCTAATGAAGTGGGGATTTAACTATCTCGTGCTTCACTAGCATAAACGTGGCTGCTGCATTTTTTCAAAACGAAGCTTTTTCGAGGGAAACCCCCCCACAGCAGTCTAGATGCTGATTTTTCGAAAATACAACCCTTTTTCAAAAGATCCCTTATCTCTCTTAAAATGCGGTTTTCAGGGTCTTTCAAAAAAGGGTAGTATTTTCGAAAGATCCGCGTCTAGACTGCCGGGGTTTTTTTTCCTGAAAAAGCACTGTTTCAAAAAAAAGCAGCGGCCATGTTTATGCTAATGAAGCATGAGCTATTTAAATCCCCACTTTATTAGCAATTTCAAAGTGCCTAATCTACGTCTCTCTGTCAACAGAGTTGTGTAGTCTAGACACATGCTAATGCTGGGCTGGAGGACTTATTCTCTCTCATGCTTTCTAGTCTTGGGAGAATGGGTTCCCAATGTGTGAGCGAGCCAGAAATCCAACGGGAACAGCCTGCCCGGTGTTACATAGGCCTTTCTTCTTCCAGGCTGGGTTAATCCTTGGTAGAACAAGCCCGGATGGCTGAAAGCCAATGGATTTTATCCGTTGCGCTGGAGCAGCTGAGGGTTTTGTAGCTGGGCCGGTGTTCACACCTGCTGCCAATCCATGCTGTGCTACAACAATACCAGCTTGGTTGCTGACTGCTCTCGGCCACGGTGCCACAGTGGGAATTTTTCATAATGTTTTGGATGACGAGTATGTGTGCCTCAGTTTCCCCTATGAGCTCCTTGGCTAACTAGGAGGGGAGGGGAAGTTGTTTACTCTTTGCAGAGATCCAGCTGGATGGTTTGGGTCCAGGAACCCTTTGTCTATGGAGAGTCCCAAAAGACAATGGGAACGGAGCAGCTAACAGTCCAGTGGGCCACCCTCTCTGGAAGCCAGCCAGGGGTGACCTGCTGGAGGACAAAGGCCTGAGGAGGCAGCCAGGTAGCTGTGAACAAAGGACTGAGGAGGGGTCCCAGGGGGTTGTTATGTGCGGGCTGCTGGAAGCAGGCTGGGTCTCAAGGAGGTCAGAGAGAGCTGACCCCCTTTCTGTTCTTTGCCATGACTCGGGACTTTCTCTGCCATATTCCAGACATCTAATAAACCACCCTGCTTTTGCAGTGCTGCATGCAAGGCACCACACAGCCAGGTTCAATCTGGGGGTGCATCAATCCCTTTGGGAGCATAGGACTTCCCCGGGGGCTCCGATCCAGGAGGCTCGTGGCAGGGAGCAGATGCTGTGGATTGGGGGTGCTGAAGGCGCCGAGGTTTGCTCCCAGGAGGTGGTGAAGCCCTGGGGTTTACCCCAGTGAGAGATGTAACCAGCGAGGTTAGCAGACCGATGGGGGTCCCTCCAGGGCCCGCACCAGAGCTGTGTGGCAGCACCGTTCCCATGGGTGCGTGACAGCCACAGTGTGACATTCAAACACCTTTGCTCCTGATCAGCAGCCTCTCGTCTCGTGACTGTCTCCCCGTCCTGGCCTGTATCAGAGGGGATGACTTTGGAGCCCCTGGATTCCCTGCAGTCCAGGTATTCAGTTCTAGCAGGGTTGTCTCACTCTTCTGTCCTTCCAAGAGCCTGGCTGTTCTGCATGGTCCCACAGCACTTTCTGGGCCTTGGAGCTTGCCCCATTGATATCAGCAGAGATTTTAAGATTAGCTTCAATGAGAGATGGATTACACCCCGCAGGAGTGAGGAGTTAGCCCCGAGCACTGCAGGCCGGTCTTTCCACATCCCCTGCCATAGTGACGTGCCACTTATTCACCAACCGATGCACCCCACCCCAGAGGTGGCTGCACTTTAGAGGTACTATCTGTACAGAGAACCAGATCCTGGTCCCATGGAACTAGGAAGCAACATTCTCCTGGGTGTGAAGAGCAGCCCAGCTCAGTGTGGTCCTTGAGGATGACAGGTGCTCTTAGGTGCCTGCTTTCATCCTCATCCCACTACTCCAGACGGTCTCTCTCCGTCCTCTGCTGCTGGCCTCTAGCATTCTCGGTGGGCTTCCCATGATAACAATGCCCAGCTCTTACCTAGGCAGCCTCTGACCAGGAGGGCCCCATGCTGGTGACCTGTCATGAGGCTGGCTTGAACTCTGCTCATACCCTGGCGCAGAAAAATATGGGTGCTCAGCACCCACCCCCACCTGCCAATCAGCTATTCAGGGCGAGCTGGAGTCACTCAGGGAAGGGAGCGGAAAGGAGGAGGGGCTTAGGGAAAGGGGCGGACTGGGGGCGGGGCCTAAGGATGGAACAAGGGCGGAGCACCTGCCCAGATAATGAAAGGCAGTGCCTGTGACTGATCTCAAAGCATAGGGGGTCATGGATTGGGTTGCCAGGTGTCCAGTATTGGCCCAGATAGTCCGGTATTTGCT